GCGTCTTTCTCTACTACATTTCAGTATCGTACAGTTTTCATGTCCCTTATAGAAATATAATACGAACCAATTTAATATTGAAAGGCAGTAATTAATTATTTATTTTGAGTATTGAAAGCATTGTTGTCCACTGCTTTAATAATATTTAAAATAAGTTCTCCAAAATAATTAATTGTCTTTCAGTAATAAATTAGTTAATGTTGAATTTCTGTAAGAAATATGAAAACTTAAATATAATTATTTGAAAGGATTAATATTTAAGATACGACAAAAATAACTATTTCATCTAAATATTTCATATCTTTCTTTGAGATTATTTTTTATCTGATTCTCCATTAGATATTAATTGTAAAAATAAGTCTTTAAATTTTTTGGAATGGAATCTCACTGTAAAGATTGAGATTTTACTCTTTAGAAGAAGATTTCAAAATGCAAAAAATTTAGAGAGTGCACGCGATTAAATCATAATCGAGTGATCATCAAGTTTTGCAAAAAAAAAAAAACATTAAAGAATTACATGTAACATTAATACCACATATACGAGTAAATATCTTTAGTTGTTCTTAACGAGAAGTTAAGTCTCCCATTGTGAAGATCATTTGTGGAATAATCATCTGATCAACGGTGCAATTGTTTTCCATAGATCAGGCTCTGTTCCCGCACGCTGACGCGAACATGTTCCAGACTCTGTTAGATTTCTTTCACAATGACAATAAATTAGACGAGAAACTCGGCCTGACCGAGAAGCAAAAGAGACTGGTACAGAAAACATGGGCGATCGTTCGTAAAGACGAAGTATCGGTCGGAGTCGTCCTTTTACTCGCGTGAGTGTGAATGAATTGTTTTTTTTCATCCGCTCCACACACATTTTTCACTAAATTTGTATTTCAATCAAGCGAAAACCACAAAAATAACCGCACCGGTAAAACCATGCAATCTTCATTAAAAAACCTCAAGAATAACCTCAAGAATAATAGTTTTCCATAAATAACATTTTAATGTAAAATACAAGAATTATAATATGAAATTGGACCGATAAGAATAAATCTAAAAATTAAGAGAAATCTTATTTTTAGTTAAAGCGGATATTAAAGTTGATTAAATATTTATTAAATTTATTAATTAAATATTTATTAAAATATTACTTAATTGGATAATTAGATAGAAATAAAAGATTTTAATGTAAGCTCACTTATGATGAATGAGCTTGCATTAAATGATAGCCGCGATGCATTGAGAAATTCTTTCAACGCGACCGAAGCTTCCTCGCTTCAAGAAGTACTTCCGCATTCTAACAAGCCATTCATTTAATGATTCGCCGAAGCGTATATATCTGGTGCATGATAAAAAATCCATGTCACGCACTACGAACCTCGTCGTCAACACCCTCACGTCTCGTCGAAACCATTCGCGTTTGTTAATGCGCATTGCGTCGCGGTGCGTCGCAAAAGATGCGGCAGAACGCACGCTATGAAAATTTCAACGTCGCTTTCATTATCATATGTGACACCGGGGGTAAATTATTGCGACATCTTGCAATCATGTTGCATTAACTATTTTGCGATAGGAGCTGTTTACAATTTATTCCTCTAATATATCAAGGTTGCAACAAAATTGGAAATCAGGGAAATTGAAAACGGTTAGAGAAATTAAAGAAAAATCGGGGATTTTGCAAAATTTTCTGCAAAATTAAAATTATTGGCTTTAATATGCGCACCTCACATCTACGCAATTTTAGATTTCTATTAACTTAACATTACATGCAAGTAATTGGCTTTTGCTATATATATATATACTGTTGTTTCATCTTCTATCTATAAAATATTGTAATAATATAAATAATGTTGGATGCAAAATTCTAACATTACTAAAACATCAACTTGTAATAATGTAATCAAGTCTAAATTTAAATTTGGATAATTTAAAGTTAGAAATTTTAGGCTAATTATTTTATATCGAAACGTAATAAAAGCGATAGAGCATTTTTTAATGATGCGTTAAGAAAATGTGGTCAGTTTTGTAACTTTCATGGTATTGTATATCATATATACTTACTGAATAATTAATTTAAGTTGCTCTCCCATATTAGCTTCTGCTTCTGCTTTTAACGAGAAATTACGTTCTCATCATCATTATTTATCTTTGCATAATGTAACAAAATTTCTCTAATTTTTCACTTTTATATCATAATTTTATACAATTTCAACGATGGATCAGCCCTAAAACGACTTGCATCTTAATCACTTCCCCAAAACTACTCATTTTATTCGCGAATTCAATATGTAACTCATTTTTTATAGCTTTTTCAAACAATATCCAGAAAGTCAAAAAGAATTTAAGTCGTTTAAGGATGTCCCTCTCGATGAACTGCCAAAAAATAAAAGGTTTCAAGCGCATTGCGTTAATATCATAGCAACGCTTGGCAAAGTGATTGAACAAATGCACGATCCAGAATTGATGGAAGCAAGCTTAATTAATTTTACCGAAAAACACAAGGTTCGTGGACAAACACCAGAGCAGTTTGAGGTAAGTAAATGTTTATCTTTTTATCTTTTACATTTTTTTCAATGACGTAATATTAATATATCTTGTATCTAAAATTTTGTTTATAAATTTCGATCTATTTTTACTATTTTTTCATGTAAATAAATTTACAAATATATGTACATCTTTTATTCTTAAATGCTTATTTTTTAAAATACACAAGTTTTTTTTATAGATGTAAAACGATCTTAAATCTTAATGAATTATATTTGCTTCCTGTATAAAATTATTTCACGAAATTACTCTTCGGAATAAGCTGATAATAATTTTTTATCTTGTGTACTAACACTTATCAGATTGATATTGGCTGCTTTCAGCAGAGAAAACTAATCAGTGTATGCTCATTGATCAGTTTTTTTCTATTAAACGCAACTATTAACTCTATTTGAGACTCTATATATTGTAGGACCATATATGTGTGATAACACAATAAAAATTATAACAATCAAAGCTTCGCACGGAATGCAAGAGATCTGGGTTCAACTCCCGACCGAGATAATATTTTTTGCAATAAGAATTAATTATTTACAGATTTTAATATGTCACTCAGCATAATTAAGATCGTTTCGAAGATGCGAAAAAGCATCAAAAAATTGTTAAAATTGCTAATCAATTTTAACTTGTGATATTACTGCGGTAGTTTAGTAGAATTAGCATTTCAAGACCGAAAAATTATTTCGGCGCGCGTTTTAAAAAAGGACTATATTCGTAGTATATAAATTCAGAATCATAGAAGCATTTAAGATCAACTAGACCGTTTAAGACTTTGATTGTTATGGTTTCTATTTAACTCTATTAAATACAACCATTATAACCTCTGTATCTATCTTGTATTTTTATCTTAAGATATCTCTCTGTATTTTTATCTTAAGATATAATTGTTATAAATAATTGTAATAAATATCTTTCAGAATTTGAAACAGGTGATACTAGACGCATTCCCCTCTTTATTCGGAAAGCAATATACGTTAGAGGTACAAGAGGCTTGGAAAAAAACCTTGGACTTGATCTTTTCGAAAATCTATCAGGTGTACACAAATTGAGATGCTCAAACATAATCGCGAATTTTTAATTGTTTGTAAATGATAAACCTGTGGCACATATTATATATCGCTTTTTGAAAATAACATCTAAAAAAGTTAATCAATCATGACAACGATATGTTTTTCGCAAGATGATATTAACGAAACTTATATATAACTTTTTGCACGACGGAGATTTAGTAGTTTTTTTTAAATTATATGACGTTTTAAGAAATGAAAGTTGTAATTAACGGGATCAATATGATGCGATATTGTGATGAAATTTGTACATATATATGTTCATATGACAATAAAATATATCCTGTATGAAATTAATTTTAGCAAAAATTGTCCTTTTATCAAGTTTTACATTAATTAGGAAATTAAAAGTTTTTAAAGATTAAGAATTTTTTTTCTACATAGAAGAAAATACTTTTTCGTGACTGTAATTTTATTTAAAGTTTTTAACTTTATTGGATAAATTTATTTCATTAATCTAACATGTTATCAATCTTTCTTTTTCTGTAATCGTTTTAAAAACTTTATTTTTCGATCGATCAAACTTCATATTGCGCAGCATCAACAAAATGTGACGTTAGCCAAATGTGCATTATTTGATTCGCCTAACCGCGAAATGTCAATTGCTTATCCTTATTGTTTTCTATTAACATTTGCCGAAACGATAGGACAGAATGATATGGAGAGCTCTTGAAAAAACAAGGAATGAATAATACCAACGTGACCATTCACGATATTTTATCAGGTGAGTCGAAGGATTTCCGGAGCGATGACATTCATGATTGGCATGATATATTTTAGGACGCAATGTGATCTGCTTGTCCATATACGTCATCGGTGGCATTATAATCGCGATTATAATTTGCACTTGCTGCTGCACCCTGTTTGTGAGAAAGAAGTGTGTGAGGATCATTGATAAGCTGACAGGAAGACGGAAAAAGGAGTCAGTATATAAAACAAACCTATTATTTGTATAATGTGATTCTCAGCACGATTCCGAGATTTAATAAAATATAAAAAGCGACTGATCAGGGTGTACAAATACATTTAGAAAGTATTTTTCTCCCGACATCGAGGAAGGACGAAAGAAGTTGCGGAAAAAGAAGAAAAGACCCGTGTCGCCGGATTTGATACAGACGACGGAAGTCACCGCGCCGATTATCCCAAAGGAACCGGTGAGGACAGAGAAATTGGAGACCCCGTCACCGACTCCTTGCTACAAATGTTACAGAAAAAAGAAAAAGGGACGAAGAACGAGGCAGATACGATGAGATCGCAGAGAAGGTTAATCCATAAGTAAATGAGACAACGAAAATGAGATATTTTCCCGAATTGAAAAGAAATAAAAGCACATGCTATAACAGAATGATCTTTTGTTTTTATCTGCGCGATTCTTTCTCTTTCTGTAATGTCTCGTTTCAAGAAAAATGCGGGCGATCGGTATTTATGTCATAATTATCGTGATAATTTTTGTCTTAAGAATCCGCGGTACGATAGACGTGAATCTGAGCGAATTGGAGTATCTCGCAGCTCGATTGAGCCCGGTCGAATGTAGGCGATTAATCGCCGCGCTTCATTACACGACTTATGACTTGCCGAGCAGCTTGGCTGAGGCAGGTCAGCTCTCTTTTCCATGGTTCTATATGAAAAGAACGATTTTGGTGAAGTATCTAAAAATTTAAGTAGATACAAATCGGAAAATAATTTTGTCGGACCATCCAAATAATACTCTCTAAAACTTTTACAGTGAATCTCACTCTGAAGAGTGAAATCTCACTCAAAGAATAAAAGTTGAGTCACTCTTTTGCAAGACTGACTCAATTTTCATTCTTTACAGTAAAATTTTAAAGAATTCAGAGAGTAGGAAGCGTGATAAGCAACGCTGCAAAAGTTTTGACGTAATTCTAACAATCTGCATCTCGAGTGTTCCACATAATTATTTTAATAGTCCAACAAAATTATTTTTAAATGTATAGGTAAATTTTAGATCTTCAGCAAAATCATTCTTTCTATGTAACCTTATATCGCAAGACTCTTTTATTAATAGCTTTATTTACCCTTCGAATATTTAATTAACATTCAATCACTCCCGCGAATAAAAGAGCGTAAAGTGGACGAGGAGATCCCGTGTTTGCGTTTACTCCTTCATTGGAATAATTCTCCCGAGGAGGGCCGGGGAAAGACGCACGCGGCGATTGTGCACCGACTTCGACAGCTAAATCGCAACGATCTCGCCGATTGGCTTGGCAAAACCACCTTCAAACAACTGGGAAAGGATCTGGACAATGCTATTACGCTGTCCTTCGACGAGCTCGCCGAGGAAGAAATGGAAACCAGAGCTGTGCAAAACACGATCAAAATATCCTTTACAAAATGCAAAATAGCCATAAAATATATCTTATCTGTAAAGTGGCGAAGACAGTATATCTGAACATTGAAATTGAACAATGAGAACAAATAATTATAATAGTAAACACTAAAAATTCTTATTTAAATCAAATACGATAGGAAAAGTTTTTTTATATATTTACTATTTCTTCAAAATATTCATGAATTAATTAAAGATTCATGTATTTTAGATAAAGTGTGTTGCACAGCTTTGATTATAATTCGACTGTTTTATTTGACTTCTGCATATTGTTTCTTTTAATATAAAATATAATTTTGTTTAAATATTATATCAAATATTCGTTGCGTTTGCAGCTTAATTACAACAACGTCTGTTATGTGGATTCAAGAGGAAAATCCGTGGTTAACAATTGATACAATTCTTATGGCTGTACTGCTTGGGTTGCTAGGAACGCTATTTGTTTTAATTGTGGCCGTTATCATACATATCAAGGGCAATAAAAATTAAACATAATGTTCTTTCTTTCTATTTAAGTTTAAGTGAAGTTTCTAAAATACAAATATCCACACATGTTAAAGAATAAATAAATCAATAATAATAAAAACGTTTTTCTTTATTCTCATTTTGTTAAACTCATTTTTTGTTAATGTAAATAAAAGTGCATTACGAAATTAGAAAATTTCAATATTTTATCATGTTATTTAACATGTTATTTTAAAAGAGGAAAGCAGTCTTGATATTTTCGAAAAAAATATGCGGTGAATATAGAATTGCTTTTATTACAATATAAATCTCTTAAAACGAAACATTTTTCTTTTTAATAATCTAAGGCATTTAGGAAAGAAGTTATAATGTATGGGTGAGCAACTTAATTACCCTGTATTCTTGTATAAAATTTTTCAAATACAACACGAATGTATACATGAAAAATGTCGCATTATAATAAAACCGTGCCATGTAAATTTTTCATAATAGGACCGTTTCCATAAATATTAAAACCGCCAGTTCAACTGTATAATTCTTTTAGAAAGTAAGAAACATGTTTAAAATCTTAGTCATCTTTAGCTAATTATGCATGGTTATGGAAATGATTCATACGCACAAATAAAAAATTATGTGAATGCGATATTTAATCGTAATAATACGCTATTCAATAATAATATCAATAATAGTAAAATACAAACGCGTGGCGTGTGAAACAATGAACATGGCAACTACCATCACAATGACAGTGACAATGATAATGATAACAACGATAATAGCGCGCATGATGACAACTGTTACACATATATTAATAATTGCGATAATCGACTGTAAACTTTCTTACGACTTATGACTTCGAGACATAAAATTGCGACTGAACAATTAATCTATCTAATAGTAACATGCATTTATATATGAACGTTATAATAGTTACGAAACTAATAAATCAGCTGCATTTGATTTGTCGCAAATGTACAGTTAACAAATTTTAACGTAATTGCTATCTGTTAGCTTGATTAGTCTGTTTAGGTATACCATACCACTATTATGCTTCGTCTTTATGCAAAATTACTTACGTAACAATTAATAATCTTTGAAACAGAAATGGGTAAAATTGTAATGAATCTGTTGGTAATCATCAAATGTAATTTAATTAATTTTACATTTGTTAATTACGTTTGTAATTGGCCATCAAACTGTTATTACTTATGTCTATAGCTTGCAGCTAAAAATAAAACTGATGATTGGAAAAGATTATAAATGTAGTTATTGTGATTGGTTAATACCAATTGGCGAATAAAGTGTTTGTCATTTAGATAATTCGCGGACGGAGAAACGCATATGTTGCAACAGATGATATCACTACAACGAGAAATATTAAATTAATGTGTTATTAATTTAATATAGCAACAATAATAGTAATAATGTAATAATAATATAACAGTAATAATGATAATCTTTCAAAAGGAGATTTTAAAAAATAATAGAATATTATTCGAAATAAAATATTAAAAGATAATATCTCTAACCATGTAACAATGGTATTCTATATAGGAATGATAGTTGTATAGCATAGTTATAGTAGTAGGAATAATAGTAGGAGTGATGATTGCAGTAGTAATAGTGTAGCAATATAGTAACAGAATAGTATTAGTAATAGGAATAAAAGTAATAGTAATAATAGTAGTAGTAGTTGTAACACTAGTGTGATAATATTTTGCACTAAAAATCGGCAATGTTGATAAAAGAATAAATTAATCGATATTTAATCGACAGAAAAACTCACAATGTGAATTTGCACAACCGTCATTTTCGGTGTATTTGATGTGCCATACGATATAAATATTTTCTGAATATGTTCTCTTTCTTTCTCTCTCTCTCTTTCTCTCACTCTCACACTCTGTCTCTTTCTCTCTCGATATATATTCTATATGTACAGCGAGACGCACGTTCTACCTGAACACGTCATTACTTAGATATTTGGAGAAGTACATTATCTTTTTCAGCCCTAGATAAGAAAATAGACTAATAAGAATTTTGTTACCTGCTTCACATTTTGCATCACTCATCCTTGAGTTAAAAGGGAATGAGAATTAAGCGATTTTTCAATAACGAGCTAAACTTTTTAGAAATTCAACTACGTAAGAAAAATATAATGTCTAAAATTATAATACGTTATTCCTCAAATCATTTTAGACAAATATAATATAATTATATAATATAATTATAATGGAATCTTAGGGGTTTGGCTGTTAAGATATTTCTCTAGCGTAGTAGATAGAAATTAAGTTATAAAAATAATGGCTTTCTATGAAACTTCTTCTAAGGACATCTCGAGAAATCTCTCTTTGAAAAGGATTATGCGCTCAGATCGGAAACGTCCCGTGTATTACGTATCTAAAAACGCGTATTCTTTCTATTTTTCTCTTTTTCTTGTCCTTTCTTCATTCATTCCGCTATATTTTGTTATGTTTATCTTATCTTTCTCTTTCTATTTGTTTTCCCTTCTTCCTATTCTTGCGTTTCTTTTATTGCATCCCGGCGGACTCATCGTTTTGTTGCACGGATTTTTCGAAAACGTACGACGATCCATGGCGAGTAATGAGCAAATCGTCGCGGATTGCTGTCTCTACGAAAGGCACTAATATGATAGTTTATCACAGAGTCTGTGCGTGTACGTGTGCGCGTGTATGTGGTATTGTATGCATGTACGTGTCCCGACACTTGTCGTTTAGATCGAATTTTCTTAGATCCTGCGTTCTAGATCTTCGTGGAGAAGACTGTTGTTGTTGGTCTCGTGAATCGATGTGGGGGATGATTCGTCCGGTTGTTCGCCCCCGCTTAATTCTAATTGGCCGGTACTGTCACCGCTGCTGGAACCGCACTCGCCATCGACAAATCTGAAAAAGAACAGAATCTTTTTAATATACTAGGCAGAATGTTCCATTTTAATTGCACATTTCATATGTCTCAGTGATTTCGTCTATTTCAGAAAGATATTTTAAGTAAAAGTTTCAAGAAATCATAATTTTTAAAGAAAAAATGATGCATGCAGTAAATTTTTCATATCACACACATTTTTTAAATAAAATACATTAATAATATTTTATCAAACCACAACATTTTTTTTTATACCTGTATAACATTTTTATTCTACATGTAAAAATATTAAGATTGTAAAAGATAATTTGGAGAATAATTTAAATTTTAGATTGACATTTCTGTGACACATTTAAAATATAAATCTCATTAAAAATATTTATTTTCCGATCTTACTTTAATATATAAAAGATTTATCTACACTCTGAAAAAAATATCTAAATTTCAATTAATATTTATTTGAATACCAATTAAATGTTTATTAAATATAAAAATATATTTATTTGGTATAAAAAACATTTTAATTTGATTTAACAATTACTTCTTTTTATTAAGTAAATATTTATTTATCGTAAGTAAATATTTAGTTGGTAGTATTTAAATAAATATTTATTTAAATTTAGGCTATTTTTTTCTCAGTGTAAATATTCATTCTTTTATTTTTTTTCTCTTTATTTTTCTCTTCACATATAAATTGTTTAATTTTAATATAGCGGATAATTATTTCACGCTATGTTGCGATTTAACAAAACACTAGATTAGAACAATACTCACGTGTACGGCTGTTCTTCGCCGCGCATCTCGCATATGACATTCGTCAGTGCTATTATATAATTTTTAGCCAACGTGAGCGTTTCTATCTTGCTGAGCTTCCTCTCCATTTTTACGTGTGGTATTACCTCGCGTAATTGCTGTAAATTACAATCGGGAGAAGTGGATTGAAAGTCTATCTATTACATCGAGTCGCATTCGCGATAAATAACGACTTGCAATCTAATCAAATATGGTCGAAAGTTGATACATTTTTAACGATGTTACGCATGATCAGTCAATAAAAGAATTACTTATCGGATAGAGCTGCAGTGTCATAGAGTTGCGAGTTATCATTTATCTTCCACATAAATCAATGTTTTACATATTGCTATTGTTTGTATTTCGTCGTTCAATGCCGATCGACAATGTTTCGCGTAGTAATAAATAATGATCGTAATATAATCGAGTTAAATAAACAAATCATCTTTTTTTTAGCATTAGAAACAAATAATAGTAAAAAAATTATAGTATTTTTAATTGCAATATCTTTCAAATATTTTATTATCAAATATTTATATTAATTATATTAAATAAAAGAAAGAATCCTATTTTCAGTCGAAGCAGATCTTTGTGCTTGATAATAATAATAATAATAATAATAATAATTTCTTTAACTTATTTCCTCATCTTAATTTTTATTGATCTAATTTTCACTTATAAGTATTTTAAATACATGGCATTTCCGTTGCTCAGCATTCCCGCGGAATGACGTGTTTATGGGACAAAAATCGATTATACTTCATTATTTTCACTCTTATTGTTCGTGATTTAATGTTCCGTAGCGAAAGTTTCTCGTTCTTCGAAAGTTTTTAGCAAAGTTCGTCGCGCTCGTCGACGCGACGACGAAGCGAAAGCTGCCTGAGGAAGCAATAAACTGTTACCTCAAAGGCATCATTGAGGGAGTG